TCGACCAATACGTGTACAAACAATTAATGTTCGAGGATTAACTATTAGAAAGAAAAAAACAAACAACCAAACAATATTTATATTTATTTTTCAAAATTTACTTGTCAGTTCTTTTAATTCTTGTAAATATTCTGGATGACCTTTTAGAATTTTTGGTAATATATACTAAAACATATATTTTATTTATTTAATTAAAATTTAAGAACCACTAAAATATACTTCAGCAATAAGAAATCTATGTAATGGTGTTGATGTATCAAGTGCATCAACAACTGGTTTTAACCAAATTTGTTTCCATTTATCGATTGATTCTTCTTCTTCTCGATGTTTATGACATAAAACACAATAAAGATAACTTGCCTTTAAATATATATATATAGAGAGATAATATAGATTCTATTTAAATAAAAACAAAATTACTTCTGATGCTAATCCTCGATCATTCATAGCCATAAGACATGATTCGGCTAATTTTGTATTCCATTTAATAATATCAGTTACAGATAAATATTCAATAAGAGTATGATATGCTAATGAACAACCATCTTTTTGCCATGGAAGTTGTTTTAATAATGTTAATTGAGAATCAATTATTGATTGACGAATATCACCTTCAAATAGGATTTGTTTATTATTAAGAAAATATTTATTTCAATAAAAAAAAAAGTTATTTTTCGTTTCAATTTCATCTTTTAACAATATTCAAATATCTATGAGAATATATTATTATATATATTCAAGTCTATTTCAAATATCAATAAAGAGTTTACTAAAAAATCTATCACTTAATTAGAATTTTCTATCTTTTTAAAATAAAACATACAATGATTCATGCTTATTTTGAAACTATTTGAATATATATTTGCTGAACAATGTCGAACAGTCTAAATAAAAACTAAAATTCAATAATAAATCTTTCTAATTAAAATATAAATTACTTCAACATTGTAACTAAAATGATCCCAAGCAAAAGTTAATAATTTTTCAATAATATTTTTTAATGATTCTGTATTAAGATTACGCCATGAAGAACTAAAAAGAAAAAATATATTTTATACATTAATTATATATATATATAGTTACGTTAGAGCTTCAGAATAAGTTTCTAATGCTTTTGATACTCCAACCATAATTGTTGCATCACGTCTATCATAGAACAGCAAAAAAAAAATTCATTTAGAACATAAAAAAAAGAATAAGAATTTTTCATAAAATAAAAACAAACGTTTTAAAGGCAAGAACTTCTTCTAATAATTGAACAAAAAAATTAGTATCAAGTAATTTATTTGTCATTGTTGTTTTTATTAAACCAAAATATAATGATAATCGAGACATAATTACACAAGTTACTTTTTTCATTTTATTAAGCTAAAATTTAATTAATAAACAGATTATTTTAATATAGAATATTTACAAATATTAATTAACTACTTTCTCATTTGGTGATAATTGTTCATTTTCTTTTAAAAGATGCCAAACTAATGAACATGTTAAACGAATTTCTAATGTTACTGTATTTTCTAAATAATTATTTATTGTTATTTTTATTTAAGTCAAATAAACAAACAAACCATCATTTAACATTTGATGAATAATTCGAGGTAGAATTTCATCTCGTTCAAGTTGATCATGAACTTTGGGTAAAAGAAAAACAACAACTTTTAAATAATATTGAAGTTGTTGAAAAAGATTAAATCGATGATGTGGAACATTTGTTGATCTAAATATATATATATATAACATTGATTTTATTCCTTCTACTCTATTTAGAATTGTTTTATGCTTTTTAAAATCATTGAAAAATAATTCGAACTTCTTAATTATATTATTCGATTATAATCTCGATGAAATTTTTCATCCATTCAATTTTGCTTTTCTACGATATATACAAATATTGACTTTCAATCTATGTCAATTTGACCAGACACAAACAAAGTCAAGAAATCCTTAAATATTTATTTATTAAATTCTTTCAAGATAACTATAGAGAATGATTCAGTTGAATTTTATTATTTGACTATGATAACACTCGGCTAGACGCAGAAAATAAAATGCTTAACAATTCAGATAGATAAATATCCAAAATGAAGATCTAATCTCATCAAAATTCCAAACATTATTTGTTTTTTCTTTCGTAACCGGTTAACATCAATCAATCGATAGAATTTGAACAATAAAAATGACCAAAAATCTAGATTATTTGTGCAATGAGAAATAATATTAAATACTGTTATAGAAAAATCATCTTTGGATTTTTTTTTACTCAATTTGTATATTCAATTCATAGAGTGATTATATATTATCAAAATAGAAAATAAAACAAATTCATCTTAATAAAATTTTTAAGAAAACAAAAAAAAATAAACTCTTACTGTATATCAAACCAAAGTTCTTGACCAATAGTAATTAATTGATTAGAAACTAAATATTAAATATATTGATAATATTTTTTTGTTTAAAATTAACAAAACAAACTTGTATCTTTTATTTTCAAAACACAAACTAAACCTAAAAATAATAATTGAATTAAAAATAATATTTTTAAAATAAATTATAACCAAATGGAAAATTTTCAATAAGATAATTTAACATAGATATATATTCAATTCTATGTTCTTTTCCTTGTCTTTTAAAAAATTCTTCTAAATGTTTTGTACATTTATCAACAACATTTTCATATTGACATTCAGCTAAATGTGAAAAACCTCTAAAAAAACAAAAAATCGAATAAAATTTTGTTTTTTTCTATTAAAATAAAACTCATACTTGACAACACATTTTCTTAAAGATGTATTTGGTGGATCAGTTGATGATGATAGAATTAATATATTAATTAATTTTTCACATAATAATTGAATATCAGTTTTATTTGATGAAGAAAATATTGTTTGACTCTAAATTCTAGTTTTTATTTATTTATTATTTATTTTATTTAAATTAAATTACTTGTCTTATTAATTCAGTTAGATTTTTATCATCATTTGGTATAATAGGTATTGGTGAAAGAATTTTTTTTGAACGTGAAGGCATTTTATCAATAAAAAACAAAAAAACAATAAGAAAAAATCTACAATGAAATGAGTAACTATTTATTTTAATTTATTGTAGAAATAGAAAATATAAAACTAAAATAATATTTTACAAAAAATAAATTTTGTTAACTAATAAAAATGATTTCATCATCTTGATTTTCAATAAATATATTTGCAAAAAACGGATTTATTTGTTTAACTTGTTCCAATTGATGTTGACCTAAATTCCAAAAATCAGTTGTTAAACGAAAATGAAGTTCTTTTAAACGATCAATTCGATGAATTATACTTGATAATTGTTCAAATACATCAATTGGATGTGATGGAAATTTCATTGATATATATAACTTTTCTAAATTTGGTAAATATCCCATTAATATATCAAATATATCAAGTGATAATAAATTATATATATGAAATCGTCGAATATTTATATGTTGATAATGGCTTAAGACAATAATTTTCTCTTCATTACTGTAAATATCATCAATTATTTCAACATCAAGTCGAATTAAATTCGGGCATAAACGTATTATACGACGAAAATCAACTGATGGAATTGATAATTGAACATGTATAGTACGTAATAATGGTAAAATACAATGTTTTGGTTCTAAATATAATGAATGACTTTTTGGTAAATAAAATCTACATGAACGAAGATTATTTGATGAACTTGCACTAAATATTAATTCATAAAATGATCGAGCACTTATCGAATTTATTAAATAAATATTTGACCATATAATTGATGCATGTTCAAGATTTTGACCTATATCTAATAAATAAATTATTTGTAATATTGTTGGATCAACTATTGTTACTGATCGAACATTAATAAGTAATGGAATAAAATTAATACTTCGATGTTTTTGACCAATATAAAGACTAATTACTTTAGTAGAATATAAATAAATACATTTATCATCATCTTGACATTCAAGATGAAGATGAATATTATTTAGAGATTTTATTAAATTATTATAACGAGAATTAAGTCCAAAAAAACTTTTGTATAATTGTACACCATCAAAATAATTACTAAATATATTAAATATAACTTCATTTGGAAGTTGTTCAAAACGTGTATGCATCCCTTATTAGTTTATTTATTTATTATTTTATATCTAAACAAAATAAAATCTTTTATTCAATTAATAGTTCAAGGAAAATATTTAATTGACATATAACAAAATAGACAAGTCAAATAAAATAAAACTTATTGATTTAAATTGAATAATAGCTACATGAATATGATTATCCATCAATAAAATAATTTAGTCGTTTTTTTTTTATTTTTAAATACTCTCAATAAGAATTATTTCTTCAATATTAATTTAGTTTTAATAAACATTTTTCAATATAAATAAATAATGTAATATCATCAATAATCAAAATCTTGACCATGTTTAAAGAATAATTTTTATTTTTTCCTCAATTATTTTATTAATCTATGAATTTCTTACGAGAATTTTAAACTAATTTTACATATTATTTATATTAGATAAAATTCGTCGGATTATTCTTCAACAATCAATATTGTTTGATATTATTCAATTGATAAAGAGAATTCTAATCTTTATTTCAATATGATAAATATTCGAATGAATTTTATACTCTTACAACAAAAAACTATCCTAGATAATGATAAGTGAGATCTGAAATAAAAACAATAAAATACATTTTGAAATAATTTATTTTTTAAAAGTTTGATCGTTGAAAAAAAAACAAAAGGAATTTTTAAATTTGATCTTTAATTAATGAAGATAAACATTTTAAATAAAATAGCAATAGGAGTTTTTTTTTGTTTTTTTTTTGAATATTTTTATAATAAAGAAAAATAAAAAAAAATGATAAAGACTTTTAATTGTTTTGTCAAAAACAACACAAAAAGGAACAAAAAAAATAAGATTTCGATTTTCAATGAATTTTTACAATTAGATTTTTGTTTTCTCTTTTTAATATAAATCAACTAATAGATGTTGAAACTTCATGTTGATGTGATGAAAGATTATGAGTAAAATCCCGTAAAAATGCATCAAATTCATCGACACTTGTTATTCGTGGTAAAGAAGAAGATACTGTTGATGATGATGATGATGGTAAAAGATCTGATAAAAATAAATCATCAAATGTTGTTTCACTTATTGTTGTTGTTGTTGAGGATGATGACGATGATGATGATGATGATGATGATGAATTATCATTATCAAGTAACATTTGTACAAATAAATCATCATTATCTATTGTTTGAGAATCAATTAATGAATTTTGAAAATTAAAATCAATTAAAAGATTTGATGATTGATCTTGTTGATCATCTCCTTTACTAATTGAAGTCGTTGGAAAATATTTAAGAATTTCATCTAATTCGGATGTTGATAATGGTTCAACTTCTTCTTCATTTATATCTGAGATTTCTAATGATGCAATTATATCAGCATTTGATAATTCATCGGAATTTATTTTTGATAATGATAAATCTATATTGAAAAAACAACAACAAAAAACAAAAGAATCCTTTCATTAGAAGAAAGAGAATCGAAGAAAAAAAAAACAACGAGAGAACAGAAAGTTTTTTTGACTTTTTCCTTCTTCATCCTATGCAAGGGTATTCACTCACAGAAAAGAAAGAAAAAAAAAAGGTCCTACCCAGATTTGAACTGGGGCTCCTGGATTCAGAGTCCAATGTCCTAACCGCTAGACCATAGGACCGATGTTAATAATCAGTCAATATGTACATTTCACTCGAACAACCTTTCTATTATCATCAAAGCAAATTCATCAAACTCAACAAAAACAAAAAAACATCTAACAGATCCTCAAAAGCCATCTGAAAAATTGACTTATCATTTCAATTCTCATTTTAATCAATACTATATTGAACTTCTCAATCGAAGTTTTAAGTCTATCCTACATTCACTTATGACAAGTTCATTTGAACTTTACTGTTAAGTCTACTCAGAAGTTTTCATCAAGAAAATGAAACGAAATGATTTTCGCAAGGATGAATTTGTTTTTTTATTCTTAATACATTAGAAAATAGAGCATAAAAAATCAAACGAGATGAATTATTTGAAATATAATAGGTTGTAGACGAGTTTACTATTATATTAATAATAAGAACTTTTCAATCTGAAACATTCTCAACATATAAATCTCATCATTGTTATTATATTCTAAATCTAATAAACCAAATGACTATTTCTAATTTGATATGATAAATCCTCAAGAAATATCCTGATGATCTATTAACTAAAAGAAAACCAATTCTTAGTTTTGATTTCAAATGAAATAATTCATCTGTGTGAAAATGATTTCATATAATTTTTCTTGATAAAAACTTTCAAGTACAGTTAACAATCAAAAACTTGTCATAAGTCAATGTGAGATGCGCTTTAAATTTGAGTTCGAAACTTCTAGATGATGTTCTTTTTTTTTGTTTTATTGATTTTAAAAAGTAAATTAATTTATTTTCTATTTCAAAATTACCTTGATTATTTGTTTTATTTTGTGCTTGTTTAATTCGTTCGATTAATTTTGTTTTATTAGCATGAGATGATGGAATTTGATATTGTTTACATACATCACGAAGTTCAATAAGTGTCATTTGTTCGAGTGTTTTTTTATTTAATAATGATGATGATGATGATAATGATTGTTGTTCATCTTGTTTATTTGATGTTAATTCAAGAAGAAGTTGTTGTTGTGCTAATCGTATTTGATGTGCATTAGAAAATGATGAAAGTGAATCGATTTTTGTTACTTTTGGTTTTGATGATAATGGCGAACCAGTATATTCATGAAATATAAGTGGACGTCGACATAATGTTGTTGTTTTAAATGGAATTTGACCACCTAAATATTTAAATTAAATAATTAATTAAATTTAAAATAAATAAATAAATAAATAAATAACCTTGAATAGCTTGTTCTAAATTTGGATATTCATTTGTATCAATATGAAGAATATTATGTTGAATTAAATCTAATGGACCAGGACGATTAACAAGACGATTATTTAATTCATCAGCAAGACGAGCTCGTTTAAGAGCATGTTCAGCATGTTGAAGACTTGGTGCACATTGAGAATCATGTAATATTCCTTGTTCAACTAATTTATGACGATCTGGACGACGAGATAATTTATCATTTAAATATTGAGAACGACTTGGTAATGAATTTGTTCCATCAGATGAATCTAATTTACGTTTTAAACTTTGATTCGACATATTATATGATTATAAGATTATGCAACTTTTTTAAAATAAATAATATATTTCATATTCATTAATCTATTAACAAAAAAAAACGTCATCTACTATTATTTTGATGATTCATTAGTAAATAAGGAACGGGAGGAAAAAAACACCAATATTTATTTCTGATATGACCTTTTTACAATGATAGATGCCACTCGAAGCTGTAGAGATTGATCATATATAGAATTATTAAACTAATTATAAAGCTATACATAAGAAAAATATAACTATTAATAAATATATTCAACTTTGATTTATATTCATTGTCATTATTAAATAGAAAAATAATAGATTTTTGGAAAATATCGAAAATAAAAAAAAACCAAAAATAATGATGATATATTAAGAATAACAAATTTGATTATTTTATCTTCTACTAGCAAACGAAAAGTCACTTTTTCAAATTTTAGGATTTAAAATGCAACAAATTTTTATCTGTATTTGTAGTTAAATGTAAGAATACAATGAATAGATCTGTTTTCTAACACAAAATTTATTATAAAAACTATTGTTTAATAAAATAATTTTATCATTTAGGTTGAAATAGTTCTCATCAAATAATAAAGAATAACTAAAGTTAAAATTTAGTAGAAATATTGTTTTCTATCTCATTTAAATATCTTCTTATGATGAATCAGAGATGTCCATCGCGGCGCTGCCGCTGCCGCTGCCGCGGTGGCGGTGGCGGCGCGGCAGCGGCAGGTTTTTTTAAAAATCACCGCGGCAGCGGCAGGTTTTTTAAAAAACCATCGCGGCAGCGGTAGGATTTTTCTTGGAGAACATTGAAAAACTGTATGAATTTAATAGAATTTCAGGATTTACAAATGAAACGCCCTGATATTGAATAAATCTGATGGACTAGTACCCATATCTCTGGTCACATATAGTCACAGCAGTGAAATTAGAAACACTTTTTTGAAAACCGTCGCGGCAGCGGCACGTTTATTTTATAATTCATCGCGGCAGCGTTTCTTTTATAAGTCATCGCGGTGCGGCAACATTTTTTTATAAACCGTCGCGGCGCGGCAGCTTTTTTTTTCTAAGGCCGCGGCGCGGCAGCGGCAGATTTTCAGCCGCGATGGACATCTCTGTGATGAACTAGTCTTAAGTTAGAAAAACTTGACTACATTTGATACTCTTATATCATTTCTAACAGATAAAATATTCAACGAACATATTATTATCGAAGATTTTTTTACATATAGATATTTATTAATAAGTGCACTGATAACTATAGAAAAAAAAGATTTTTCTCAATTGTCAAAGTTTACTTGTAAATAATAGATATTTTTTTCATCGATGAAAACAATAAATATTCACCAAATAAAGTTTTGTTTTCTTTATTTTGAAAAAGAGAAAGCATATGTTAGTATATTTTCATTAGTTAAACAATCAATAGACAATATAATGATACAATTAAATATAAATATATATATATGAGAGAATTGAAAAGTAGTTTAATCTTATCAAAACAGAGAATTTTATGATAATTTAATTTGTCTGGAATTTTAATTTTAAGAACGTTTATTTCTAAATGTATTTATTTTTGTTAAATAAAATTTTCGTTGAATAGATAATAAAACTTGTCGAAATTCTTTTTTATATGTTGCTGATGGTAAAACAAAAACAAAACATATTAATACAGATGGCATAAATGATATAAAATAACCTAAAAGAAATAACCAAAAATATTCCGATGATTTTTGACAATCTAATCTAAATGAAATAATTAAACGTGGTAATGATAATATAACAATAATAATAGGACTAATTAATAAATGTTTATGTTGTTTTAATTTATTTTTAAAATGATTTGTAAATTTACATGGACTTTTCATAATATAACGTTGACGAGCTGTTCCAATAATAATAAATATTGATGAAAATAAATTTATTAAAAATGGAACAATAAAATGAAAATATATTATAAATGATGTATAATTATTTAATAATGTTGAATATAATATAACACACCATGTACGTTCTTCTTTAATATCATCAAATAAATGTAAATATAATAATTGAGGAATAATAAGAATAATATTTATTATAATAACACATAAAATAATCCATTTAGACATTTTTCGACTTTTTATTTTATTAAAATAAATACCTTTAAAAAGAGAAAAAGCTCGTTCACCAGCAACACAACCATTTAACCAATTATCAATATATAATAAAAGTTTAAGTAATGGTTCAATTATCATACAATTTGATAAAAGAATTATTCGTTTAATAATTATATCTTTATATGAATAAATAAGAAACCAAAATTTTAATGAAAATAATATAACTATTATTATTGAAGTTATTGATGATGCAAGAAGATATATTCCACAACCAACTTCTTGACAACTTTTTCTTTTAAATGTTAATATTGAAAGAATTCCATTTATAATACCAATAATAAACATAAACATTGTTATAATAGCACTTAATTTAACTGAAAATGGTTGTTTAGATAATATAATATTATGTTTTATTTCATAACCTAAGATTTCATCTAATGTTAAACCTAAACCTTTAGCATAATATTGACATTTATTACCAAAAAAACAATCATTACAAACACATATTATTGAAGATGGACAAGTTGGATGATCTTGTAAACATTCTGCACCATTTTGACAATAATGTTTTAATGGACATTGAAGATTTTTATTTGAATTAAATTCAAGACAATTAGCATGATAATCTTTTGTACATAAACAAAGATAATATTCATCAATAAAACAATTTAATTTTTTATTATTTTGACATAATATATGATAATATTTAATACGTTGTAATCGAGACATATTCATTAATGTTGAATTAAATAATATATTAATTGAAAGACATTCTCGAGAAGGATTAATTGATGTTAATATATCATTTATTGGATTTAATTGAATAAGAGCAAGATAATATTTATTATTTGATTTAATAATAACAATATTATATGAAATAGATATACGAAATGTAATCATACGTTGAAATAATGTTAATTTTTGTAACATTATTGTTAATCTTGGTTCAGATTTATTTGATATTGTTAAAAAAAAAGCTAAGACAAATGATGGAATATTTAAATTTTCATAATAAATATCGATTTTAGATTTACGATATTGACATATTGATCCATAATAATGATCAGAACAAATACAAGAATAATGATTATTCGATATAGTTATATCAGCTGGAATACATTTACCATTATTAAGACAAGCTTTTTCTGGACATAAACTTGTAAGAATACATCGAGGACCATATTTCATTAATGGACAAATACATATTGATCGATTATTAACTGTTCCAATGCATATCGAATCAGATGAACAACTTTGACAATTTATTTTAATATTACATTTATTACCTGACCATCCCGAAAAACATCGACAAAATACATTTTCTTTATTTATATATTTAATACATTCACCATTTTGACATATTATTAAACAATTTGATAATATATCAACTCGTTGATAAGGTATATATAATAAAGCAGATATTCTATTAACAGGTAAAAAAATAAAAGGTATTGATAAATACCAACTTCCACGATATGTTATTAAATGTTTTTCAAATGCATCAATACGTATAAAATAATTATTTGATAGATTTTTTGGTCGTGTTAAATATAATAAATAACGATTTAATTTAATTCCACAATTTTGACTTGCAATATATTCAAATTGATCATATGAATGAATTATTTCATATTGATCAATTAACATTATTATTATTATATAAACATCATGTCTATCAGCTCTAATTAATCCTAATGTAAGACTAACACGTTCATTTTGATATTGACATAAATTACCATAATAACTAGGTGGACACATACATTGACGTTTATTTAATTTATTTTCAATTCTTCGACGAATAATTAATCCACGATTACAATACCATGGCCAAGAATAAGATTTTTTTTCTAAATTTATATATTTTTCAATATAATCTTGTTTTATAATTGGTTTCGATTGAATTATTTCATTATTAATAGTTGTTTCTATTTGTGGATAAATTGATGATGTATGAATTGAAAAATGAATTATTCGATTTTTTTCATTATCAATTGAACGACAAAGAACATCTTCAATTTGAGTACGATTTATATTTGAATTTTGTTCACATATATATTTATGATTATTACAAAAATTTTCATCATCACCAAATGGACATGTTTGAATATTATTACATAATTCAGATGATGATAAACATAAATCACTATTTTGACAATGAAAACGTTTTGGATTATTATCTAATGGATAAACATGTCGACAAAATTTAAGTTCATCCATTCCTCCAAGACAATCATCAATTCCATCATTTATTTTATTAGAAGATAAACAAATAAATGAATTATTATATATAGATATACATGGATAAGTTTCATATTGACATATATATCTTTCATAACAATATTCTTCATCTTTTCCATTTTTACATGTCCAATAACCATCACATCTTGTATATATATTATTACATGGCCAATAATCACATTCAGTTTCATCTGTATGATTTTTACCATTTGAATCTTGATAAATAAATTCATCTAAACCATCACAAATCATTTGAAATGATATTTTCTTTTCAAATTGATTTTGATTAAATGGACAATCATCAATTGTATGTAATGATGAAAGACATTCATTACTATTAAGACATTTTAATCTATGTTTAGTATTAATTAAACAACTTAATTTATTATCTTCATCATCTTTCATACAACAATCAATATTTTCATCAAATATACGATGTTTTGATATTAATTTAGATGAATTTTCACATTTATATAATAATGTTTGATTATTATATTTATTTATATTATTAATATATTCATAAGAATTAAAACATGAACGAAAATAAGATTCAATTATTAAAATCATATCAATCCAAATATGTCCACTAACACTTGATATTAAATCTATTGTTGAACTATGTAAACAAGTTAAATTTTTATAAATATATGTTGGATTTATACAATCACAAAGTTTTTCATTATAACAAATATAATCAGGTATAATTAATAAATCTGAATTTGATTTTAATGAAAGATTTTCATATAAAAAATAAATATGACTCATATATACCGGATTTATTGGAAATTGAAATATTGAATCACAATTTTTAATAAATTCATAAATTAAATTATTTATAAATAAACTTTCACATAATATTCCATTAATTTCTTTAATAAGTTGAGTAAGACATATCATTAGAATTGAACAATTTTTTGATAAATTATCTTTATTTGATATTAATATTGATTGAATTAATAATAAATGACGTCCATTATGACATTTATCAAATGTTTGTACACATTGTCCATCACCACATGGAAAATTAAACCAATTTGTTCGACATGAATGTTCTTCACAACGAAATGTTGGATCTCTAAAACAATTATATGAATATAATACATCAGCAAATTCATCTGATCTATCAAGACAATCGGCATCACCAAAACCATTTTCCCAAAATTCATCTGGTATACATAAACCATTATGACATCGATATTCATTATCTTCACATTCATTTATTTCCATATCAAAGCAAAATGATTCATCTAAACCTTCATCAATACAATCAATACGTCCATTACATATTTCACGCCAATCAAGACATATACTTTTTCCACCACGATTACATTTTATATGAATATAACATGGTAATTCTATTAACATATTAGATGATTCAATATAGGAGTTTTTTATATTAAATTCATTTTCAACAACATCATTTATTGACATATATTCATTACTATATTCAAATGAATATTGACATCGTAAACCAAACCAAGGTTTTGTACAATTATAAATTAATTGATTAGATAAAGATAAATCTATTTCATCTAAATATAATTGATATTTTTCAACCAAATCAATAGGAGTTGACCATGAAAGAAGATCTTTTGTACTAATATTATAAATACGTAATTCTTCAAAAGTTAGTTTTTGATCTTGTGTATTAATAAAATTTCGAAATAAACTTTCATTTCTATTTATTGGTCGAAAACAATATGGAATCAACTCATTTATTACATTTGATAATTCTTGATAAGCTAACTTTTCCTTACTTACACGATAATATAGACAATCAAATTGTAGAATATTATCATTAATCAATTCATCAGTATCATAAAGAATCAATTGACAATTAATTATAATAGAATGAATATATATTATCAAGATAAAATATATTTTCATTGTCGAACGATTTTAAATATAATATAGAAACAATGAATATTTTATTGATGAATAAAATGTTCAATGAAGAAAAAAAAATAAGTTATTCGATGTCTCGTATAGATTATTGACAATTGAATATCATTGTTCATATTAACCAAACAAAAGAAATATTTCACGTCTAAAAACGGATATAATAAGTTTTTCAAGGTTACTATTCTTTATGACATAATCAGCTAACAACTATAACTATCATGTTTGAATAGGATCTTTTTTTTTTCTATCGAGAAAAGAATTAATAATAATAATAGCGTCACTGTTCAATGACTTTCTATTCTAAAATAGTTAAATTGGTTAACATATTTTTTTTTACAAGATTATTATAACATTCTCTATACGTGCCATTTACAGACAAATCGTTAGTCAAATATTGAATACACAACATATTAGTGAATTCCTATCTGTATGCGATTACATAATCAAAGAATTTGTTGGCAGATCATTATCTTGTCATTGATATATATTTCATAAATAAGGATGTGACTTTGTATCTAAATACTGTTTATCTAAGTCTTCTCTTCATCAACTCACATTCAAAATCACAAATTAATACTCATACTCTTTTTTCCATTCCAACAAATATCTCATATACGTGATTATGAGAAACATTTAGACAATCAGATTCAGTCTATTGAAAATATGTCGAATCATAAGATGTCAACTTTTGTTTTCATAAATAGATGATTCAACTATTTTTGTAGAAAATCTTTTTTTTTCCGATTTTGATATTCGAGTTAGACGTGTATCATCGTCGAAAACGGTCAGAGGTAATAAAAAAAAACTCTTTTTGGTATATAAAGTTTGGAGATGCAGGTCATTTTTTACGAACTAATCAATATATTTATCGTTGGGTGTTCCATAGCGTCTCAATCACGTTGCATAATGATGAAATTTTCAGCATTTGTAGATCTTTTCATTCTGAGCATTTTGATAAAAAGAAATATTTCCAAAAAGCTTTTGTATTGTTGAAAATAGACTCAAAACACTATAAGTAGTTGAGTAAACTATTAAAAACAATTGGTTAAAATTGCACAAAAGTCATTTTTTCAGAGTTTTTGATTTTTTACTGCTTATAATGTTTTAAGTCTATTTTCAACAATACAAAAGCTTTTTGGAAATATTTCTTTTTATCAAAATGCTCAGAATGAAAAGGTCTACAAACGCTGAAAATTTCATCATTATGTAACGTGATTGAGATCCTATGGATCACCCAACGATAAATATATTGATTTGTTCGTAAAAAATGACTTGCATCTCCAAACTTTATGTACTAAAAAAAGGCTTTTATTATTATCTCTGACCATTTTCGACGATGATACACGTCTAACTAGAATATCAATATCAATATATATATTCGTCAGTATATGATATTCAAAACTAGAATATCATATACTGACGAAGAAGAAGATGAAGAAGAAAATATTATTGCAATTAAGCTTTCTAATATTGAACAAAAAATATTTTCACATTTCTCTCGACTCATCGTTTGAATATTTACATCAACAAATAACATGTTGGTTTCTGATAGATAGCAAAAACTTGGCTATTGAGTAATCGATTATTACGTATTCAGAAGTTCTAAAACTAATAATTTTTCTTTTCAAAAAAAAAAAAGTTTTGTTTTGCTCTTTGATTTGATATTATGAAATAATTTTGATATCGATTTTTCGAACTTATTATTATTTTATTTTTGTGCATATTTGAAGCAAATTTTCATCTTTATTATTGAAAAATAAAATTGTTCTTTTATTAATCATTTCTATATGTCTGGACTAAATTTCTAATCTAGCATTTACTCCTTTGTTTTTTCACTGAAAATGAAATCATTGTCTCTAATTAAAATTTTTACATTGGTTGAGCAAAGCTTTCTCTTCAATCTTTTCATAGTACAATTATTTATTTTGTTAATCTTTTCCAATGAAGAAAAATTCAGAATAAACACAGCAATAATGTAAGAAGCAATTTTTCAACACATATACATTATTCGAAAACCAATTCCATGAATCAAACATCGGTATATTAATATCAACTCGATTTTGATGATCATTAAATATATCTGCCTATTTTCAAGTGACAGTTGTGAATCAATTGAAGATGAAATATCAGTAACAGAATCTTGCTAAATTGCCGTCTCAAATTAACATTGGATAACATTTCAGTATAATTTCTGTAATACACACAATGTTTATTTGTTTCTTCATGTCATTTTCGCAATCGTTTTGGCTCTTATCGTATAAAAACATTACGAACAAATCGTCATGTCGAATTTATTAATATGCATTCCATGTACAAAGTGTCGGCTCTATTCCATCGATCACTAAAATTCTCTTTGAATGAATAATATGAACCTTCTTTTCATCATTATCAAGAAGAGAAAGTGTGGCCATGTTTGTTTGTATCAAGTTCCACATTCACCTCCCACTCTCACTTTTTTTTTCCATTAATTTTGTCTGATTAAGAAATTTTGTTTATGACGAAACGACTGAAAGAGAATTCGAAATAGCTCCTTTGCTTTTCTATTTCATAAAAAATAAAAGTGTGGTCATATATGTTTACTTATAGCTCTCATCGACATGATAAAATCTCTCATAAAAACAATATTTCTTCAAATAGTACTGTCGTTTTCTCTGTAAATTTTCTCATTTTCACTTCCTTGTGTCTGAAGATGTTCTTTGCATAAGGATGAAACGACACAGTTGATAGAAAATAGTCAATGAAATAATTGATAGTTTAGCTACTCTCGTTATTTCATTATTCAATCTGATACTATGAAATGAAGCTTAACTATATCTATTTTGTGTGTGACAAAGAGGTTACAAATAGATTTTGTCAAAAGAGTGGCTCTCAATTGTCTCGTTCTGTTATATGTACGAACTTTAGTACGAAAGAATTCTGCATTGAAATGAATGTACTTACCCAAATATTTATCGTTTAATTCTTCGTTTTCTCGCAATCAAGTTAAAGTTTTTCTAATCGCGTAGAAAAATTCAACTTGCATTAAGTAAACTTCTTCATACTGAAAATCGCTTGCTGCTTTCGTTTGAGAATGATTTAAATGAATGATTGTATTGACGAAAGTTGGATTTTTGAAAAGAAGATTCTTCTGTTAAATATGCTTTTATAATCAGTCTTGAAGACAGACTCGTAGCTTAGTCATTGGTGACCTCATTTGTGTGTCATTTATAAATAAGAAATAAGTCGTATACGAGATGTATTCAGTAGTCTTTTACTTTCAATCATCTATCGATACACAAACACAATCAAAGAGAAACGATTTTTAGAAAATTTATACTTATGAAGAAAAAAAAAATAATTTTTTTTACAAAAAGTTTGATTGATATTTTTTTATCTTTTGGATCAAATGGATTCTTGAATTTATCTATTTTAGATCGTTTTGTTAGTGTATTAAAACGTCCTGATCGAGCTGATTATGCTTTATCCATGTAATGAGTTTTATTATTACGATTGTCATTTATTCATAATTGTTCGATAGAATCGATATGTAGCCGAGCATGGAATAGATTCGTTCTCTTAGATGTTAAATGATCGAACAATCGCAAGTTGACAAACAACTCGTGAAAATGGTAATATTCTCTTTCGAAACATTCCAACATATTATGTAAAAAAGAGTGATAGATGAAAAGTAATCTCAAAAAGTGAACGATCAATATTGTCATGCGCTTGTATTAAACTGTCAGAATTTGTACAATCGAATGTTTTTTTTTCAAAATTTTCAGGAATAAGTTGTTCGTTATCGTGTAAGTATACTCAAGAGTCGATAATTTTATATTGAGCGATCTGTTCAATAGTAGGCATTTGAAGTTATTGTTTTTCAGAAAATAAATATAGACAATATTATTTCACTATCGTTAATGTGTGGTGAAGAAATGGTGAACTATAAATATTTTGTATTGGAGAAAATGACAATAGATCTAGAGAAAATAAGTTCCTATGTGTTAAAATCATCTAAATCATATTTTTTCTTGCTAAGATTTCGTGTTGCTGATAAATTCTTCACAGATTGAAATTCATCACAATTACTTATAAGATCTAACGAAATTGAATTTTCTTCTCTTAAAAGAGGCGTAGAAAATGAATTCACATTAAGATAATAAAAAATTTCCAATGTATCGAATATATTCTCATCTTCATCTAATTCCTTAAATAGTATATACAGTTATTCATAAGTAATTAAATGAAGTATAATTAATCAGAGATTTTAATAATATATATTCATCGTTTTCGTTTTGCATTATTAAAAAATCATCTTTATTTGCTACAAGAGCTCATAAAAAAAGGAAAATGATAAAATCGGTAAAATGAACATGTTCATGAGACTTATCAAAACGAAATTTATATATGGATTCTATATTTGAATTCCCCCTCTCTATTGCATTCACCATTGTTTCCAAATCTAATTTCACGAAATGATCAAGTCTATTCTCCTTCCTGACGATGTTTGTCAGACAAACAACAAAATAAAACGACGACAATATAGTTTCTTTCGCTTTTAAAGCAAAAAATAATAAACGTATGTTAGATTTTTTTCTCTACTTAAGGTGTGGTTATTGACGTTATTTTGTCAATAGGTGCGATGAAAGAAGGAAGAAAAAAAATATGAGTCTATACATTGTTTTATGCTAAAAGAAGAAAAAAAAACATCCACGTGAAACTTGTGTAGTATTGATGTTCAATTCTAAATAAAAACTTACTTGAGTTTTAAAAATCAACCCATATTCTGTATTCAAAAAAACCATATATTCATTAATAAAATTGAATAAAAAGAACTAATTTATTTTGCCGTCAGAAATTAAAAAAAAGAAGAGTAGAGTTTTAAATTAGTAGTATTTATCATGATTTCATCAGTTGAATGAACATATTCATCGACAATATTTTTCATTCAATTCATTTCTATATAGCTGAATGAACTGATAACAGAAAAAGAGTGTGGATCAAAAATGATTGCTTCTATATTTAGCACATTGTATTATAATTAATTAATTCATTACGAAATCAATTCATTACCAAGCCGATTGTGTTTGTTACTTGGTTGATGGTTTGGATGTGAATAGAGAAAAGAATCATATCCTTAGCCATACTTGAAAAAAAAAGTGTTTTACAACATACGTCAATAGGTAAGTGTGAAGACTAATAATATAAAATTGTACATTTTCCTTTTAAGTTTTCTGATGATTTCGCTATTTTTTTTATTTTAATGAGTTTTGTTTATAGGTCTTAATGGTATTGAGATAGTAATCGTATGAATATAGAATAGTTTATGCATCTGAAGATTTTCTCGTTGATACTTTTACAGTCTGTTTCTTTTTTTCACATTTTGTTTCGTGTAGTAGTTTAAATAGATGAAAAAACAAAAGCTTAAATAGTAGAATTGGAAAAAAGAATTAAAAAAAAAGAGTCGGTTAGCGCAAGCAGTTTATCTCGAATGCCTTATCCCAAGGCATGATTGTGAACCATAGAAAGATTCACAAATTTCTCGAAGTAATGTAAAATTTTATTTTTTTTTTTTGTTCTTTTTAATATTTTATAATTGTTTTTGGTATTTTTTTTTTCAAATTTTATTATTTTTTTGATTTTTTTTCCAATTTTATATATATTTTTCCTTACTCAAATAGCACAGCGTGTGAAGTAGCTGACTCGACATCTGCCGACCCTGTCCATAACAGAACAGTATATCTATATAAAATGAAATATTTTCATGTGTTGCAATTACACAAGGAAGAATGAGAACAGAAATGAAAACCAGTATAGTTGACATAAGAGGGTGTGAGTGTGGGTGTCGCAATGTGAGTGTGTAGTGGCGCGTTTTTGTTGGCTGTGAGAGTTGATGTGGATGTAGGGTAAGTGTGACTGTTGTTATTCCCTTAACTAGTACCCACATCCATATCCAAACTTCCACACCCACAAGATTCAAATATGTTATGAGTATCCTGGAGCGAATTTGAGTTCTTAGCTTATTATTGCTGAGATATTGAATGCTATGGTCTGTCACACCTACATTCTAAAAGTGTGCTTTTTTTTTGCATTGACAGATTTGGTGTTCTTATATCAGAATAAGTGCAAATAAAAAGATATGAAACTTTCTCAAATAAACTATTTTTGTTAAAGTTTGTCTCTATGCAAAATTTCAAGTCAAAATTCGAAAACTAGTTTTGCCAACTATTTCTGTGAATGACTATGGCATTTACTATCCTAGCAACAATAAGCTAAATCATAGTTGATTAGAGTCTACACGATGCACATACTCCTAACTTAAAAGCAATCAATCAATTGAGGAACTTTCTTCATAAGTCTGATCGTATGTGTTTTTAATTATCATGTTCAACAGCAACAGTAAAAATCAGTTATTTATCATTGATTATCGTAGCGAATTGGAAAAAATAAATGCATGATTTTTTTTTTATCTTTGAGAAAAAGTCATTTTACATAGAATGAAATTCATCAATAAACATTTATAAACGTATATGGATTTTGAGTTTTAGCTTATTATAATATTCAATTAATGTAGGAACTCTATAATAGTAGAGAATTCAAAACTGTATAAAAAAAAATATCTTATAGGATTAATCTACAAATAATTTCTCATTAACTAATATTAAGTTAGAAAATAAATTCTTATTTTTACTCATTATCTCTAAATGATTGAACATTGAATCAATATATTCTACAAGAAAAAAAAAAAATAATTTCTTTTTTTCTAAATAAATAATAATCTCTATTTATTAAAATAATCATATAACGACATTATTTATATATGTTATTATTTGTTATCATTTATCTAATTAGGAAAGCTTGTGCACATTTATGTCGTTCTTCATCATTGTCAAAATTAGATATCAGTAATCCATGTTTATCAACAAATAAATTTGATTTAGATTATTGGTTAAAACAAGTTGATTTACTTGAAGGAAAAGAAATTGAACATAATCGTGGTGGTCTATCACCTTATCTTTAATTCCCAACTGAAGAACCATGTGATGGTCAATTAGTAACTGCTTCATGGATTGTTGATGCATGTCGTCATATAGAATATCGATAACAACATCAATTTGTTCAACAAACAGAATAAAATCTAATACCATATAGACGACGTCGACATATTTTTCGTCGTTTTATTCGACATCTTCTTATTCTCCCATATCAACATCCATCATTTTAAAATCAACATTTATCATCATTAATTGCTGATTTAAGACCACGTATAGTAAATAATAATTTAATTTCACCATTAGAAACATTAGATATTTTACCTCGACGAGTTGTTTCATGGCCTCGTCTTAAATCAACTCATCATCAAAATGGTGCAATAATGAATGACAACCACCCTTTTGACATACTGTTTTCTTCAGTTTTAATTGTAAATTTTTATTAAATTTCTCATGTACATCTTATTTTATTTCAATAAATCGTATATTATGATCGATATAAATAAATGCTTCAGCTATATAATTTATTTGTGCTTCAATCATAAGTACAACTGAATTATGACCAAGAAGAATAAAAAAATTTGGAAAACTAGGTATAGTTATACCACGATATGCCTATCGAACATAAATTTAAGTAGATACATATATATATATATAATAGTGTTATTAAATATATTCACTTGTATTGTTTGAGACTATTTATCAGTTAATGAACAACCATTAATTCCATAAACAAGTAATGGAAATTCTTATGTTAGAAATCTCGTTGAGCAAATACTAATATCAACTGGATATTCATCTCCATTTTGAGTAATAATTGAATGTGATTTAATTTCTTGTATACGATTTGTTACAAGTTTAACATTCGACTTTTGTAATGTTGAAAACCAATCATTAGTTATTAACATACGTTTACATCCAAATTCCCATCTTGGTGTTAATTTTTTTTCGTAATTCTATATCTTTAACTTATCTTTAAAGATTATATTTAACTAATTTATCAATTAGAAATTTCAATGGCAAACAATAAGCAAATGAAAATGCAAAAGATTCTATTATCCAATACATAATAACACGCATAAACTTTTGAATAATTGGAAAACGTTTAAATAATTTTTTTTCCCAATCAGTTACTAATCGATCATATGTAGATATAACCCATGCTGGTGTTCGTTGAAAAATAAATAATTGTGATACATGCTATTGAATTTCCAATACTGTTTGAACAGTACTTGGTCCTGTACCAACAACAGCTACACATTTATTGTTAAAATCTATTGTTTTATCCCATTTAGCTGTATGACACACATTTGACCTTGAAATTTATCAATACCACGAATATCAGTTGGATAAGAAGTATTTGATAATGGTCCACAAATAAGAACAATCGATCATCGAGCATAGAAAATTTTTTCTTGACTATTTGATTGAGTTGTAACTTGACATAATTGTCGTTCTGCAAGCTATTTTAATTGTGTAACATTTGTATTAAATTGAATATGTCGACGAATATCATATTTATCTGTACAATATTCAAGATATTAAGCTATTTCAGGTTGTCGACTAAAATAATGTGATCATTCTGGATTAGGGTCAAATGAAAATGACTAATAAAGATTTGATGCAATATCACATGCACAACCTGGATATTTATTATCATATCATGTACCACCAATATGTGCATGTCGTTCAATTAAAATATAATTATCCATTCCAAGTTCATTCATTTTAATAGCCATACCAAGACCAGAAAAACCAGTACCAATTATAATAACATAGTATTCATCATCTCGTTGATTATTTATCAATTTCAATTTTCGTTTAGTTCGCTTTTCATAACGGCCAAATGAATCGTATAAAAGCCAAATAGATGAAATGTCTAATAAAGCCTAGTACCAATGAAGTATTTAACACAATAAAATAGCCAAGTATTAATCATAATATATCTAATTTAATGGATAATATTTTTTCCATCTAAAACAAGAAAATAGACGATTATAGCTTTTAAGACAAATATAATATAAGTGTAAAACAAGAGATACAAATGTAATTGGTGTTTACTAAACTTTGTACTTTTATCTTCACGTATCAAAATTTATTTTTTTCATATCATTGACAGATATGAGCATGTAATAAGAAATTGTTGTTTATGTTGTAGGATTTTATTTTAAACAATTGTAGTATTTAAAATACTATTGAATTTTGAATATAATGAAAAAAAATAGTTCTTTTCTTGTGTAAACGATTGACGAATTCGTAGATATTTTTATTTTTATTTTTCTTAAATATTTACTTAATTATTTTAATAGATTCTAATTTACAAACGTTAAAATATACATTTTACAACCAAAGACGAAGAATACGAAATGCGTATATGACTGTTTTTCTCTGTATCAAATGCGAATAAATATCATCGTAATAATAAGTCATGTAGTATATCAATATGTATGATGAGTTAGGAATAGAATAGAATTAAAGACAAGAACAGGTAGTTATTTTGGTTTTTTTCTTTCTTCACTTTTACGGTCGTATGGCAATGATTCATCCATCAAGATTATGACACTTACCGTCTGGTGGTACTGTATCATTATGAAAGTAAAGAAAAAGAAGAAAAAGCAAAAATTAGAGTTTGTTCTTTTTCTTTTTTTAATGTATGTACTGTATTTTACCTAAAGAAATTGCTTCTAGCATTGAAAACTTATATCATTTTACAATATACAAAGGGTATCCTACAATAACTGAGAAAGAATTCTCAACGACATTTTTCATACTTTTTTTTTGACGAAGAAGACAAAAATTTTTATCATATATATATATATGTCGGAGTTGACTATATAATTTAGTTGCTTTTTCAATCTTCGAAGCAACTAGTTGTCTTTCCAATTTTAAAGTGAACTAATTAGTTGATTTTCGTATAGTGAATATTTATTTATATGCTAGATACAATGTTTATTGCATAGATAAAGTTGAGACAAAGGAATGAACATTGAATAAAGTCAATATCAATAGTGAGCAAGAAAATTGAGGAATCTTATAGGATGAAATACACAACAGGAGATCTAACAAGTTTTACATGTTGATTGTTTATTGCCATGACATGTTGCACAGCATTTTCGTTTTTCTTCCTGCAACAACATCGATTTGTGTTGCAATTACCGAAACATGTACAAGTCTCTGTTGATTTAAAATTTATGTAAGTTTGACTTGCTTGAAGGAAAGTAATTGTCGGTAATCCATCAACATTAACAGCTCATATTGATCCTAAATTCGCTGTTGTGAGATCTAAAAACGCCAATGAGTCAAAATATTCTTTTGTAATACCATCTTTGTAGCAATTGCGTACATATATTCACCATTTCGGAGATATTTATCGATTATTTTACATGGTAAAATGGTGAAGGAAGTATTTGTACGATCAACATCTGCAACTTTTAATCGAATACTTTACTTTACTATCGGTTATTGCATCACGATTTTACGTTTCTACATTGAAAAGTCAACTAGTTACCTTTTAAAGGCAACTAAATTTTATAGTCAACTCCGACATATATATATTAGAACCTATGAAATAAGTTTAGTAAATAATTAAAGACAAGTATCAAAAAAAATGTCTAAAACTAGTAAAAAACATATTGAATTCAATGATAATGAAAAACTATAGCACAGGTTAATGATTCCGGTGTCCGAATCTGTGTATTTTCACTGGAAATGTATTGTTTCCGAGCGGAAAATAGTATGAACCGATGGGGTTCCTACCACCGTTACAGCTACTATCTTCAAATGATTGTCAAATAGGCTCATCTTATAGAACATTTTGCGCTGATCATTTTGGCTACCAAAAAATGAACCATTCAATATTAAGTAAGAGAGAAATCAACGAAATACTGATATAGCCATATTTCATTCATTTTTTTGACTCCAAATGTGGCTTTTTCCAGTATCTTAGCAAGATATGATTTTAATATTTTCTAAATCAAAATGTCAACTTCAGATTCGTGTAGAGCATTGAAAAATGTCTTATATGAGGTATTTTTGAAAGTATTTTCTTGATATTTTTTTTGGTCCCATGTATACACCTTTCTTTCATTAAATACACGAAAGATGAGGAAAATACGAAAAATGCTTACTGATAAGTTCAATAAAAATTAGAATTCCCGCACTTGGTGATATATACAGTTTGATAAAGGAGCTTCTGCTCTATCGAACTGTATATTTAACTTTTCAAGAGAATAGTAGGGTCAAAAACGCGAAAAGACTGTTTTTGCCACGGTATTTTATATGAATTTCGGTAATATTTCAATATTCATTCATATTTTTTAAGTCAAAAAAAAATTTCAAAATTGAATTCATAATCAGCTTGCAAAATGCATCGAATAAGCTATTATATGTTGTGTCAGTTCATCTTGTCTAAAGTCTCTTGAACTATGTATTTATGCCTTTTCTATGCTGTCAATATATTGATTTATATTCAAAAGGAGTTATGTCATAGTGTGAAGCTAGCTTACCAACAAATGTGAACTTAATACTATGATTCTGAGAACCAGCATTCATCACTGATCGTTTTTCACTAATTTATCTGCTACTTTATCACAATTTGTTTGATTATACTTGAGGATGCCCTCAGGGATCGAAAAACATTTTTGCTCTAGTTTTAGTATAGGCACTTCTAGTTCGATAGAGCTGTATGTCCTGATTACAAATATAACATCTTTTTAAATGATTGGTCGAAAAATAAGAAACATCTGAAGCACTTTTGGGGACCCCTAAAGAACCCGTGGAAATTCATCAAAATGCAATTAGAATCTGGCGAAAATAGACTCATTCGACGCGGAATTGTTTTTTTTCTATCAGAATATACAAGAAAGTTTAAGTGCTTCGAATCGTTTTCGATCGATAATCGCCAAATACCGCCCAGAATTCGGTCATATTGATACACATGCTGAGTTTCTAGTCTTTTGAAGTTTTAGTTTCTGTGTGTATATTAGAGAGATTTTTCCGCCGAACATATAGATCAATATCCTCTTCCTGGTGGCACCATTTTCAAATTGAAATTCGACCCCCTAATCAACTCTTCCTTATCAAATTCTCGGAAAGTCCGTGCTAAAACTCCCCGAGGATTTAAGAGAGAGTTTATGGGGAATTCCAGGGATTGCTTAGGAAGTGGCTTTAAAAGTCAACAATGAGTCCCTCATATTCAAGGGGAGTTCCTAGGAACGTGATCAAATATTGTTCTTTCCCAGGACTACATCCGTGCCATTCTACCTACCTACCTATCTGCCTACCTATCGATCTATCTACCTAACTATCTTTCTATCTATCTAACTATCTATCAAAGATCTTCCTATCTAATGTCTATCTAACTCCACACATTTCTAGCATCCATTCATCTATCTACCAAATTTTCTATGTAGCTTTTGCTTAACTACTGAACCACGTATCTATCTATTTAGCTGTTCATTTATTCACTTAGCTCTCCATTATCTGTCTACCATCTAACTATCTAACACATATATGTCTAACTATTAAACTCCGTTCTATCCAGAAAGTGCCAATATGGCTTAGCGAAATAAATTGAGGGTGTGGGTGTGTAGATGCGGATGTGGCTGCAAGCTGAGTGAGTACAATACTTCATTCTTAGAAACCCACATCCACACCCAACTACCTCGAGCTGTATGAATTGAAATATGACTTGAATTAACTAACTTTGAATGTTAAATTTTTTCGTTATAATTTGATTTGTTATTCTCCCTTATCAAAATGTTCAATTAAGATGTGTGTGTGACGGGTGTAGAACCCGACGTGACCTAATTTTTCCAATCACTGACACAGTGGTCACGGAATGTGACTGTAAGTCACGGAATGTGACTGTAAGTCACGTTCATTCTTTATGGTCTGTCGCGACATGCGGCCACTTTTTATAAACTATGTATATTGCTGGTGAAGATCATATATAATGAGTCTATTGTTCAAGACAAAAGTGTGAATGTAAGACTCCTCTTTTCATCTTTGTCCATGCTCAAATCCAGTCGCTATACGTTCAAAGGTCATTTTTTCTATTACATAATCACTAAACGCGGATTATTCTAACATTTGAATAGTCGTTTTCGGACTGTTAAATAAGTCATCGAGCAACGAGTTAAGAATGATGATTAACGAAAGGTATTGACTACAAATACATAAGTGTATATAGTCACTCGTTTATGTCTACTCGGATTAACATAGCCATTTCCTTAATGAAATAACTTCATCTATACTATTAATGATAAAGAATGCAGGTCATGGTTTTTTTTGTTACAAGTTTATAATAATGATTTGCTCGATATTTTATTTGTTGAGGAAATCGCTTCTTTGTAAAACGAAGTTATCAGGATTATCATGTCATACTGGTTAAAACTTTTCTTTGTAAGTTGTACAGACATCAAGAGCATGAATATACAAATTGTGTGAAATACTCATCAATTGTCAAATGTAACATTTGTAAAAAAAGAAAATAAATAAATAAATATTAGGTAAAAATGGCTCATTCAATATGATCAATTAATCCGTATATGCTCAGCTAGGCTTTTTGAGAAAGAATTTAAGCTAAAGGCACAAAATTATCTTTTCTTGAACTCGAATAAAATTGTAAAATGATGAATAAAAGGCAAATGAAGTTCAATAGCCTCGTAGTGGGAGATTTTAATTTCAAGTCAAAATTTGAACTTGTAGTATACCTAGATTATTATCATTTCTTAACATTCTAAAGAAAGATTCGTAATTTTTTTCAATTTCGTTGAATTAAAAAGGGTTCAAATATATCCCGTTAAATTAGTAACAAAAGATAAAGAATAATCATAAGAATTCTCTCTATTTTGTCAAACGCATGTATAAGTTTTAAGTGTTTAAAAGCGGAACAAGAAAAAAACAGTAGCAAAGGAAAAGAAAAATCTAATATTTATGAAGAAAGTCAGTATTTAAATATCTTTCTTAGTCTTTTTAAATAAATACTTTCTTGAAAATTTTTTTTCCATAGCGGATTATGAATTGAAAAATATAGTTAACAATCTAACAATTATATTCTAGACGAATATGAAGAAAGCAACAGAAAAAAATAACAAGAAAATCTTTAAATTTCCTCTTATCTAAAAATCATTTTTCAAAATAAATTATAAGAACAATTTGACTTTCGTTATAATAAATATTATTAATTCAATTATGTTCTCAGTAGGAATCAATCTTAGTGATTAATTATCAATGAATTTCTTTTTATTATAAACTAAAAAATATATTTTATTTCAATCAGGATTCCCTAATCTCTCACTACAAATATAAATCATTGAGATCTATGTAATCTAATATTTATACATTATCGTAAGAAATAAAACCGATCTGAACGAAATACATAACAAAAACTTTTATATCATTCTTTATTATGTGGACTTTTTTAATAGTGTATCAAAATATACAGAACGAATTATAAACAGCAAATATATTCTATACGAAATTTTTAGAAACATTTAAAAGCTTACAAATCGTTTTTGAAACTAATTATATGAGTTTTCTGCAGTATTACTTGACGTTGTTTTTATGAATGAAAACTTTGAAGTCTCCTTAATGGATGATTAAAAAAATGAATCCATTTTATATTTACAGATTCAAGATATTGAAGTATTTTATCGTATTGCTATTTATAGTTCATATCTATATAATTGAAATGCAAATAAATTATAAACGAGATGCATTTAAAAAAACACATAATAATTTCAAATATTTTGATTTTAACAAGGGAGATTTACGACAAACACAAAATTTATAATTAGGAGATTTCCAACAATCACCAGTTTTATATCCGTGACTTCTACAATGTAGTTTGCATCGATATTCATCTTGATAATTTGCTTCATTACAACGAAAACTACGAATTTTACGCATTGTATTATCAATGAGAATTCTTCAATAATGATGAGAACATTATTTTCTCAATATTTTTCTTTTCTACGTCTGTCATCACCAATCGATGACGTATAAATCATGTTAATTTTCTCAAATGATGATTTTCTGAAAGATGATTATGCCTTTTACGAATGATTCTCTACCATTTAACACTAAAAAGTAAAATATGCATTAATTTGATACAAAATCAATTGTATTTGACATATTACCATTACAGGAATATTCGAGCTTTGTAATTCCCCAAACTTTCATTGCAAAAGTAAGTAAAAAAATAATTACAATCATTGATTTACAATTCATTATCACTATGTGAAAAAAAAAAGAATCATGTTGTCTTATGATATATATCTGAACTCTACATAATATGGTTTTATTCCATTCTATGAAAAGTTCTAATCAAAAATTTTTTTCTTCATACTTCAAATAGAATATATAATCGTTGATTTTGGAATAATTTCTTAATGATTTATTTATATATCTGGTAGACGTAACTGATCAACCTAACATAACAAAAATATGCTTTAGAAAAAATAAAATGACGAGTATATTTATTCTATAATGAATAAATCGTGTTTTAAATGACAATTGTATTTAATAAGATATGTAAAAAACGCGTCTGTACAAATAGATTTTCTGAAGAATAATTAAAATTTGCACAGATTATCACTTCCACTAAAATTGTTATTTACATGAATGACTGAATACTAATTTTATTTCAAAGTTTTAAAAATAAGTTTAACAAATGATTATTATTATTATGTTCCATTAAGTATGATCCATACAAATTATAAAACTAAGAATTTTTTTTCAGAAACGTACACTGTCAGATGTATTGATAAACAAGATCATTTTTATATATGAAAAAAAATGACGAAAAACAAACAATCTATCTGCTAGGTATAGTTTAGAAAGATATTAACTGTAAGCGTGTAAATCAGTTACACAGACAGGCAGACAAACTCTTAGACAATATTTTACGATAGAATATAAGTTTGATTTTAAAAAAAGATTCTTAGCATTTTAATGAAACTTCAACTGAACTTTTTGTGTTATAATAAGAATTTTATAATAAAGATCTATATAATAAGTTCATTAAGTTATGTAAATTTCTATAAAATTAAGTGATCATCATTTTTTTAAATTTCTGAATAAAAATCTAAAGGAGACATTCCATCTGACCATCGATGGTAAACATTCTTCATTTTTATTCTTTTCAAATGACTTTAATATAACCTTTTTGATATACGCAATGAAAAGTGTAGATTATAGAGTAGGATCAACACTTTACATAGAATTTACATCTAATAATAAAAACTGAGAGTAGAGCACGTTTTCTATATCATTTAGAAAAAATTTACAATTTGAAGAAATATGCGAATCTTTATATTCACTGAAACGTGGCCGCCAAAGATGAAGTTTTTCATCTATGTTACTGAAAAAAGAGTTTCATGGTGAAGTAAAAATATTCCTAAAAAAAAAAAATAAAACTCTATATTGTGAGAAATCTTCAATAGATACATAATATTAGTCACCAAACACGAACAACTATTTTGGTACATTCTAGTTAAACTGTTTAACACTTTTTGTACACTTATTCTTTAGTTATAATGAAGGACTCTCACTTCATAGAGTTGCAACCGGTAGGTTTTTTTCTTCTTACGAGTATCAGTACCGATCTAAGTTAATTAGTTCGAATTGAACTGACCGATAGACTAAGCATGAGTCATTATTCACTTTTATAAATCTCTCGATTACTCATATCTATCTTTGAATTACTATAAAAATTACATAAAGCTTCTGTGTGATTATAATAGTGTTATTGTAAAACATGATAGTTAATAAGTGTTGAAATATATGGTAAGAAAATTGAATCCATCTTCCTTAGCGCTTGTCTCAAAGACCACGACAAATATGGCGATGTTCTTTTAATCTATTGACAAATTGTGATAAATATATCGATATGTCTCTCTTGTTTTGTCACGACCGAGCGTGTTTTCTGACATGTTGCTTTTTGGTTCAGTCATGATCTCTCATATAGATGATAAAGTTTGCCACAAAGATTAAAGTAACTCTATCATGTTTAATATTTCAGACTCATCGAGATTGTCCTGATAACTTTTTCTTCATTATTTATCTACATAAATTTTCTGTCTTTTGACAACCATCAATGAATAGAAAATTTTATATTGGCTCTGTACACAAATGAAACGTTCATCGAACATTAAAATTCTAAATCAACTACATAAGAACTTTCATTTTCATAATAGATTTACTTTGTTATCTCTTATGTCTTCGCAAAAGATCTAGTATAAATAATATGAAATAAAAATAAATATATTATAAATTACAATGAAGAACAATGATTCCGTTTTATTTCGATAATATAACTTGTTATTGAAATGAGTTGATATAATATAGTAATAAAAATATTCTAATGGATGTTTCCTCATACAAATAGTCATTGATATCAGTAAAAATAGATTATTTTATGAAAAGAAATAATTTTATGATCAATTTTTTGAACAACAAAAAAAGAAAAAACTCGAAAAAATCTATATTGGTCGTTAAAAAAAGTTCTGTCTATCAAAGAGTAAGCAATTATTAGACACCTCTAGCTTTGACTGATACTTAAAAAAAGAGAATTCCTTCATTGTCATGAGAAGAAATGTCTCTATATGTCACATAAAATTTTATTTAAGTTTTCATGTGTCTATATACTAAATCAATCGATTTGAAGGTATTCGAAACCTTCAAACCGACATTACAGTACATATTAGGACTTGGGTTTTATAAAAAAAAAATTTCTTATTGATCGATGAAGGTAGTAGTTTGTCAATATGCAGCATTAACGCTGCTATAGGTATCATCTGCTTAAACAAAGACGCAAATATAACGCAAAGAAGTATACTAACTTGCAATTTCATTCGAATTCTATTTCAATTTCTAGATCTGCACTGAAATTGATAGTCTCTAAATTTAGTCGAATCAATATCACAGTGTTTGAATTAGAAAACTGCAATATTTTGTTTTTCAGTCAAGTTTTTTACAATCAATTTTCATGTCAATTAGCAAATCAGGATATATAGCAAAGTAATAGATCGTGAAATGTACTATTACTAATAATTGTACAGATGATCATGTAATCGAAGAAGCATATACTTGCCATCCCAATGATAGAACTCTATCTATGTATCAACTAAAAGGATGCAAAATATCGGCACCTCTAAATACTGCGTAAAACTAGAAAGCTCTACTGGGTATGTGGAAATGACTTTTTTTTGTTAAATAAAATATAAGTTATGGTTGATCTAGTAGATTTTTCAGGCGAAAGAATCGATACATTTTGAAAAAGTGCAAAACACAGAGAACACGAGTTCTACAATGAATTGAGCTTAATTGTTCATGTTTGAGACTTAATGAAAGTATTGTCACTAAATCGAACATTCGATTCGATTTGGTTTTCGTAAGAAATTCTCCACCTAACTGCCCGCTTATTGTTACCGATTAAAAAACTGTCACGTCAATTGATTATAGAGATATTTTTGTTGAACTAAAATTACGATAGATACGCTTGTCAAATCTATCAATTTAATGGAAGGAGAGAAAAATTGTTTGAGTCTAGCCTATGAAGAGTAAATCTAGGATTGACTTGAACCTACTCAAACCTTGTTGCTTCACCAACTATATTTTCTACGTAATACTTCGGTTTAATTTATATTGATTATTTCTAATATGAGAAAGTTTTCATAAGATAGCATTCTTTTATTTACTTTGATATACAATTATAATGAGAAACAACAAATAAAAATAAAAATAAAAATGTAATCATGGACCAGCTTTAATTAAGACTTTGTGATTAAATTCTGCTTTGAAATATTATCAATCAAACAGACTTAACTATGTTCAATGACTATCAACTTATCTACAAGGAATAGATAATAGATAAATATTTGCCAGAAATATTTAGTAAAGAACTCAATTATTATTTAACAAACAAAGATATTTGAAAACCAAATAACTCATTGAATCCAAGAGATTTTGATATATATGAATATGAAATGAATTATTTTTGACTTACTGAAATTGGATGAATTTGTATGAATAATAAAAATAAAATGAATTATTTGAGAAATAAATAATATATATAATAAAAACTGTTCCATATATAAACCATAGATGAAGAAAAAGAACTAATTAAGTACAACTCCTACGTTTAATTGAAAATCGAACCCACTTGAGTTTTATTTAAAAATAGACGTACCAAAATATATCTTTCTCTATGACTTGTCGGTATACCATTTACACGTTCTTATAAATCAAAATAAGTAGAACAAATAATTTATTTTTCCTATTCAAGATATTATTGTTCAATCATTGTTTTAAATAATGATAGACAACTGAATCAACAGGAGATATTATATTTCTATATTAGTCACGTAAAACAATTATTTTTTGATACTCTCATACTTTTTCATTGAGATATGCTAATATTATTTAGTTATTGAGTAGAAAGGTTATCTAGAATATTGATAATTTGATAAAAATTCATGACATTCTTTTGACTGTCATGACTTAGAAAAAAAAAAACTTTCTCAAAATCATAATCGATTTTTAAGTCAACTGCACACCTTACAGATTGATTACAATATCAATAAAAATACAACAGGCTTTTGTTTTCATATATATAGTCTTCTATCTAATTAATGAGAAAATATACGTGCTTTTAAATATTAATAAATAAAAAATATCATAATCATTATAAATACTTTACATAAACATGATCAACATTTTTATTTCAATAAAAATAAAGATTAGAAACATTGTTTGAGATTAGAAAATAAATAAAAAACTCTACATCATTATTTTGATTTAGAAAATTCATTGTTTAGTTTTTTTTTCAAAGTATAACTGATATAATTAAAATTGAATTTAACCAAATCTATGCTTAACAAAAACTCAAAATGAATCGATCAATAAAA